TCCTTTCCTCTCCCTCTCTCTCCCCCTCCCTCTCCCCCTCTCCCTCCTTCTTTCCCTCTCTCTCTCCCTCCCACTCTCCCCCCTCTTTTTTTTTGAAAAATTAGTGCATTTCCCCCTCCAAAAACCAAAGGTATAATTTATAGTAAAAGTGTCAAATCGTAGCCTTTCTAGAGGTCACAAATATAATACTTTCTGTTTGTTTGTTCTTTGCGCCTAAAGGATATGCCTGTCCTTTTGCCAAATGACGGGAGAATCGGCTCTCCCAGTGAGTTTCAGGGGAAAAAAACCTCTCCCAAGATCTGTCTGTTTCAGCAGCGTTTAAGGCAGATTTTTTTAAAAAATGTCTCACTTTGGGGACATAGTCTCTGTGTCAACATTTTCTAGTCTGCCTCTACAAAATGAGTCACATCTTGGAAAGGTCTCTGAAGAACCTACATATCAGGAGCATTAGAGATGCCAGTCTTGGCCCTGGTGGGATTCTTAGCGCCAGTCAAAAGCTCCCACCAGCTGCTATATTTGGAAACAAAACTCTGAATTCACGAGACTGTGGGAAAGTAGGCTTCAAATTTGTTGAAATCGTTGTAAACTGAGTGGGGAAAAGGCATCAGTAGAGTTTGACCCTGCAGAGTTTCAAGCTGTAGAGAGCCGATTGTCAGCATTCCAAGTAACAACCTCCCAATGAAAAGACTCCAAGACTGTCATCTTCTCTCGAGAACCATTTTTCTTAGAGGTGTCATCTTGGCACATCTGAGGAAAACCCCAAATCTGAGATTTCTGGGTTTTCCTTGGCCCAAAGAGAGTCCAAAATGCAAACCCTGCACCCAATAGTTCATCACGTGGTCCAATCGTTACTTCATTCCAACTGGAGATTGTCCCCAGGCACTCCCCTTCCAGGTGCAGGGTAACCTGTCCTTGACTCTCTGAGAAAGGAATGTTGTTGTGGCTAATTTCCCACCGCTCCTTGAAGTCCCCCCTCCCAAATTCCCAGGCACGAAATGTGGCAGCCCCCAAGCCCCAAAGAAAAAGGACTTCCAAGCTGACCCAGATCTGACCTTAAAGTTGGCCATTCTAGGTCAGGTGTTCCCAACCAGTGGTGGTATTCTACTGGTTCGGCCCGGTTCTGCCGAGCCAGTAGCAGTGATGAGCAGTGGAGACCAAACTGGTTCTCTCCGCCGTTCTGCTGTTGGGCCCACCTGGCTGCCTGGGCTCCCATACTCACCTTTATCCCCTGCTTTTGAAGCACAGCTGTTTTGCACGGCACAGCAGCGTACTGCGCAGCAGCTGCTGAAGCAACCTGGAGAGTGCAGGCTTGTGGGAGGTGAGTTGAAACACCTCTGTGCCTACGGAAATGCCTCTGCACCTCGGCAAAGTGCGTGTTTGGCACGCACACGTGTGCAAAGTGTGTGCACGCACGCAAAGCGTACCCACTAAGTCCCACCCACTGAACCAGAGGTAAAACTTTTTGAATCCCACCACTGTTCCCAACTTTCCGTTGGTGGCCTGGCATTGATTCACAGCAGGCCAGCAACTGGTCCACGCAAACAAGCGAAGCCCCATCTGTGGGATGCAGGCAACACGTGCAACCGTGCCCCCCCCTCCGGTCCCCCTCTCTCCATGGAACCAGTCCCTTGCTCCCAAAAGGTTGGGGGCCATTGTTCTAGGATCTTAAGGTGACTCAACTGTACCCAGTGGTGGTATTCAGCCGGTTCGCACCGGATCGGGCGAACCGGTAGCAAGAATTTGGCGTGGGTCACGGAACCGGTAGTACGTTCTGGCTGGCCACACCCCCTACCCGGTCACCCTGACACCCGATGCTCGCTCACCCCACCCACCTGCCTGACATTCGCCTAAGGTATTTCTTTTTTTCACCTCCCGATAATCAGCTGTAGATAAGATCAGCTGTGCCGGGATTCCCTTTGCTCAGGCCCGGGAAGGCAAAAAATGGAGGGAGGAGCTCAGGCCCCCCCCTCCAATTTTTGCCTTCCAGAGTCCCAGAGGAGCTTTAGGGGAGCAAAAACGCCCCCCCCAGCTCCTCTGGGGCTAAGAAGCTCCCAAAACGGAGCTTGGAGGGGTGCTGCATGCTCCTCCCATGCTCTATTCCTTTTCTTTCAGAGCCCCAGAGGAGCCTTAGGGGAGCAAAAATGCCCCCCGCCCCCGAGGCTCCTCTGTGGCTAAAAAGCTCCCCAAAATGGGTGGGGGCTGCAAAAAAAGAGCCACACCCATGCAGTGACATGGCCGCACCCAACAAGCCACGCCTACAGAACCGGTAGTAAAAGTTTTTGAATCCCACCACTGACTGTACCCGCTCTACTTTCACATTTTCAGATTACATCTTTGCCTTTTCTGAATGAAAGGGGTTGTCAAAGATGCTGGATTAGGATTAGGGGATGCTGGCCATGAAGAGTTCGCAACCGGGTCACGGAAATGACCGGCCAGTGTGCCCACATGCACATCTTCCCCAGAGGTGGTATTCAGCCAGTTTGGACTGGTTCTGGCATACCGGTAACGAAAATTTTTGATCAATTCGGAGAACCGGCAAATACCACCTCTGGCAACCCACCACTGATCTTCATTTACCCAAGCAGCGGGTGTGTTTGCACACGCTTCATTTGTGTGAGAACGGCAGGGGTGCGAGAGGAGCTGCGTGCATGCTTGCCGGCCACACATGCAGAACCAGCCCCCTCCTCCGTCCATACACAAAGCTGGAAATGTTGGGGAACTCCTTGCGAAAACCTCCTAGTAAAATAAGAAGGGATAATCGTAGTAAGGATAACGGTGTTTTTTTTTTTTAAAAAAAAATGGCGGATACTACTCAAGTGGTAAACTGCTGGAGATGCTGTGTCTGTGCTCCTCCTAATTTATGCAGTGCTGCAGGTTGTGTAAGGTTGGGACGTCACTGATGGCGTGTGATTTTGTGTCCTTGTCTTCTTGTCCTACGAAATCCTTCTTCGCTGATTTTTGGAATGAATATTACATTAGTGGGGAAAAGATACCCATGACTTCAGCCAAGCCAGAAGACCAACCATCCTTGCGGGAAGAAGGCAAAGCAAAAATTCCTGAGACACGGAAGCATGGCCTGGCTAAGAAACCAACTCGGGCTAGTCCTTCCCAAGCAGACTTCCTGAGTTGTGTGAAAGCATCTATCACCCCAAAAGATAAAGAGATCTGGGAGCGGCTGAAAGTTTCTGGGGAAACGAGGTACGTTGACATAGAGGAAGATAATGTCACATTTCTCACGCTGTATCCGGAATCTTTTACTTACTAAATGCAGAGAGTCCTCGCTGTATGGCCACAATTGAGCCTGAAATTACTGTCGTTAGGCGAGCCATTTGTTAAGTGGATTTTACCCCGTTTTACGCGCTTTCTTGCCTCCGTTGTTAAGTGAATCACTGCAGTTGACAAGTTAGTAAGCCAGTTGTTTAAGTGAATCGGGCTGCCCCGTTGACTTTTTGCTTTGTCAAAAGGTGATCACGAGATCCTGGGACACAGCAATGGTTGTAAATTGTGAGTCGGTTCCCCATTGTCCGAATTTTGATCATGTGACCAGGAGGAAGCTGGAAATGTTGCAACTGTGAAAAAAATGGTCAAGACACTCTTTTCAGTGCCATCATAACTTTGAATGGTCACTAATTGTTGTAAGTTGAGGACTATCTGTAATGAGATACCTTTTTCTCTCAAAGTGAATCTTTGTAGCCCAGGGTGGAACTGTGGAATCCTTGGTGCTCTCTGAGCTTGGTTGTTTACTTGCAGACATTTCAGGACCAAACTAAGTAACATCACGCTAAATGGGAGTGGACTTTGGTGCTGGTATCTAATGCAGCATCTAACCCTGATGATATTATCTAGTTGGGTCATGAAACATCTGCAAGAAAACAACCAAGCTCAGAGAGTACCAAGGATTCCACACTTCTCCTCCTCCACTCCACAAACCCCACTTCCTACTACTGTGTTTCCCTGAAAATAAGACCCTGTCTTATATTATTTTTGCCATCAAAAAAGGCACCAGGTCTTATTTTCAGGGGACGTCATCTACTGACTAACCTCACTTGCCTTTGTTGTCCCCCGGCCTCCTTTTGGCTGTCAGAGGCCTTCCAGAACTTCTTCTGTGGCTGGCAAGGCTTTCATGAAGGCCTCTGCAGCCAAGAAACAAGTTCTGGATCGATCCAGAGCTCTGTTATCAGCTCAGGAAAGCCTTGCCAGCCTTGCTGGCTGCAGAAGAAATGGGCTGGCAAGGCAGATGTCGAGGTGTGTGAAGCCTGCCTACAACTGTCCAAAGGTAAGTAGTCGGGCAGTTCCACCACCCTCATCCCCACCCTAGCTTAATTTTTACCTGTCCACTCTGGAGTGGGTGGGATCTTAATTAGGGCTTATTTTGGGGGTAGGGCTTATATTGGGTGCATGTGTAAAAATCAAGCTAGGACTTACTTTCGGGGTAGGTCATATTTTCAGGGAAACAGGGTAGCGCTGATGATGTTACTAGTTTGGTTATGAAATGTCTGCAAAAAACTTAACTAAGTTCAGATAGCACCAGGGACCCCCACAATGCTCTATTAAGGCTCTGCAATGCAAGGATTTTCCGTGTGTCCCATCAGCATCCGTTCTTCCTTCAGAGCATTCCAAAATGCAAGAAAAAGGTCTGTTTTGCCAATATCCGGGTCTACAGGAAGTCCTCAACTTACAACAGTTCCTTTCATGACCACTCAAAGTTATGGCGGCACTGAAAAATAGTGACTTAACGCCTGTTTTTCCACCCTTAATGCCCGTTGCAACTTCCCCCATGGTCACCTGATCAAAATTCAGATGCTTGGCAACTGGCTCACATTGACCACGACTGCAGGGTCACGGGATTCCCCTTAGGTGACCTTCGGACCCCACCCCCAAGTCAACGGGGGACTTGGATTCCCTTAACAACTGTGTTGCTCATTGAACAACCGCAGTGATTCGCGGAACAAGAGCAACAAGGGAGGTGATCAAATGGAAGCTAGAGTTGCTTAACAAATGTCTTGCGGATTTGGGGCTCAATACGTCGAAGACTCATTTTCATGCAATTTCTCTCCCCCCTGCCCCCCATGTGGCTAAATGTAGTAGAGGTGTAGCTCTCACCTCAAAATCAGGAGCTGTGAGTTCGATCGTAGGCGGTGGCAGATACGGGAACAATCTCTGCGCACAATGAGAATATATCTGCTGAACAAAACTCTGCATTGGCAACAGGAAAGGCATCCGGCCAGTAAATGTTAACGCCATTCAGCTCCATTCTGCTAGCTCCATTCAGTTGCCCAGTCTCCACCCCGCAAAGGATTATGGGGTTGTTAAAAGAGGATGATGAGGATCATGATGATGATGTGGCTAAAGATAGCATCCTGGTCCATCTTTGAGGCCGTTCCCATCCTTTTCCGATCACATCTGTGCAGGAACCAGGGAAGTCCCTGAATTGTTAAGATTGTAGCCCTGAATAAAAATCATTGCGCTTTCTTCCGATGTCTGGACCTCCAACTTCCCACATCTTGGCATTCCCCTGTTCAGGAAGCAGCTGTAACAACAGGCCTCTTTCTGTCCAGTCTTGCATGGCAAGATATCAGAAGGAACTCTGGCTAGACGATAAGTGTTTTACTATCAAGTGTAGCAGAAGGTCTGTGGACACAATCTCGCTTTTGAAAAGCGGTCCTTCCAAAGCTGCTTGCAAATTTACACTCCAGATTGCCACTCCGCCTGAATAAGCAGCTATTCTTGCATCTGTCTGTCATTTTCTGACTGTGCTTGCCACAGCTTTGAGGGGTAGGGGAGTATATTTTTATTATTACTAAACTTCTCGGTGTTATTTCTTTCCCTCACATCTCCAATCTCCCACATCCAGATACCCCTTAAATGCTTAATGTTACATACATACATACATACATACATACATACATACATACATACATACATACATACATAACTTTCACCGATTGATTTTCTTCACATTTTCATCCAACCTTGGTTTGGTTTCTTGGTTTCTTTTGTCTCTTTGTATGCTTTCCATTTTTATTTTAACAAGGAGGAAGTCAAAAAAGGAAGTCCCCAAGGTGATTTTTCAAACAGCAATTAGACATTAGAATAGAATAGAACAGAACAGAATAGAATATCGGAATAAAGAACAGAACAGAACAGAATAGAATATCGGAATAAAGAACAGAATAGAATAGAGACCCTATGCCATTTCAGACAAGTGGCTGTCCAATGTCTTCTTGAATGCCTCCAGAGATGAAACACCCACAGCTTCTGAAGGCAAAACTGTCCCACAGGTTGATCATTCTCACTGTCCGAAAGTTTCTCCTTAGTTCCAGATTGCTTCTCTCCTTGATGCGTTTCCACCCATTGCTTCTCGTCCTGCCCTCAGGTGCTTTAGAGAATAGCTTGACTCCCTCTTCTTTGGGGCAGCCCCTGAGATATTGGATGACTGCTATCATGTCGTCGTCATCCCCTCTTAGTCCTTCTTTTCTCTAGACTAGCCAACCCAAATCCTGCAACCATTCTTCATATGTTTTTATCTCCAGGCCATTAATAGTCTTAGTAGCTCAACTTTACACTTTTTCCAAAGTCTCGACATCTTTTTTGTAATGGGATGACCAAAACTGAATGAGGTATTCTAGCTGTGGCCTTACTTAAGGCTTTATAAAGCAGTGCTAATACTTTTGATCCTCTGCCTGTGTTTATACAACCAAGGATTGTTTGACACAACATGAAGTCCATATAATACTTTCATCCTAACGCGAGCCTTACCGAGCCTTACCATCTAAATACTAACAGGTTTGGGGTGCTTAAATCTTCCCATCCTTCATGGCTGAAATATTTTTGCTTCAAAATGCAAAAGTAAGGAACATGGGAAAAGTTAAAACAGGTTGGCAGGGTTACCATCTCATGCACTGTATGGTGCAAAAATAGAGCCTTCCTAATATAAAACCCTTGGCTGGTTAACTTTTGGAACCGTGTCAGAATTTATCATTGCTTGTACTCACCTTTGGTCTGCAAAGTTCCAGACAAAACATTCATAGTGCCAAATTACGAGATGCAGGCCCCTTCCTTAACATCCCAAAGGATAAGCAGACTTTTTAAAACATTCTTGAAATAAAAGTTTCATCCCTGAATCCTGTGTTTACTTATATTCCCGTCAGTAATCCAGATCAAGAAATGGAAGCGTCTTGATATCGACATGAGAAGGGGAAATAGGCTTCCTCTTTTTTCAAAGATAATTCAGTAGCCTTCTTTTTCAAAGGATGGAAATCCAGAGAAAATATAAAAATAAACCGCTCCTAATGGGTTACGTCTAGTTTAATGAAAAGAAGGACTAGGGCTGACAGGATAGCACTGTTCCAACAGTGGTGGGATTCCAAAGGTTTTACTACCGGTTCTGTGGGTGTGGCTTGGTGGGCGTGGCAGGGGAAGGATACTGCAAAATCCCCATTCCCTCTCCACCCCACTAACCTGCTTTCCAGTTCCGTTCTCCTGTGCAGGGCAACCAAAGGAGACCCAACCAATCAGCTGGGACTCAATGGGAGGCAGAGAATAGATGGGGGCGGGGCCAGTCAGAGGTGGCATTTGCCGGTTCTTCAAACTACTCAAAATTTCTCCTCCCAGTTCTCCAGAACCGGTCAGAACCTGCTGAATACCCACCTCTGTGTTCCAATATCTGAGGGGCTGCCCCAAAGACGGGGTGTGTGTGTGTGTCAACTTATTCTCCAAAGAACCTGAAGGCAGGACAAGGAGCAATGAATGGAAACATTCAAACTTTCATATTTTTTTTCCGCCTCAAGCACAAAGTCCAGAATCGGTTTCCAGGGAGAAACAAAATGAATTACGTTCTATTCTTCAGTCGAAGCAGTCGATCAATTCAACCAATTTAGTCATTTGGTGAGGTTCCCCTATATTCCAAAATATTGGTCTTGTGACAATATTCATGAAAACAACCCTCTCTCGAAAGCCATTGGTTCAAGAAAATCTCTGCTTTTCATTCCGGAAACATTTGAGGTGTATATCTTAAAAGTGGTCCATGCTGTTGTGGGTTTTTTCCCGCTTCTTCTTCTTCTGGGTGACGTAGAATGCAAAGTATTCAAATTTGCCAAGCTTCCTGTTATCTAAACCCTTGGATTTTATTTATTTTTATTTATTGATTTGATTTGTCGATTACTTACAAGATAATAGGTATAAGTATAAACATGAGTAAGAATACAGGAAATAGGTACGAATAGGACAGGGACGGTAGGCACGATTGTGCACTTATGCACACAATATGGATGTTGGTGCAAAATCTTCTTTCGACACTACCGTTAAGAGGCTTTGATGTTCCTTGTGGATTTTTTTTAAGTATTTTTATTTTTAATACAAACAATGCATCATCCATTAACCAGTGTGTCATCTGGGTACCAATCTCTTCTGCAATAACAAAGTTTACAGCCATATTCATTACATTAGTATTAATTCTCTATTCTTAACTGAATACTGATATACATAATATATCTAATCATTACAACAATCCTCAGCTTAACATTTAATTCTATTAACGTATTTTCTATATTTCACTGGTCTTCTTTTGTTTCTAACTTTCATATTCTCTAACCATCGATAGAATAATTCCCATGTCATGTAATAATTCCGTTTGTTCCTTCTCTTTCATTGCAAGGGTTAACCTATTCATGTCTGTACATTCTAATATTTTCCTGATCACATTTTCTTCAGTGGGAATCTTTTCAGTTTTCTAGTTTTGTGTAAATACAATTCTAGCCGTGTTTCTTATGAAATATAAGGTGGCTAAGTCAAGACTTTCCGTATGGCTTTCATTATTTCTCCTGCTTTCTCTCTCCCTCTCTCTCTTTCTCTCTTTCTCCTGCTCTCTTATGTTAGCGAAATAACGTTGCCTGATTCAGGTGGGTATAGGTCATCAGTCCGGGATGTTTGCGCCGATGCCCAGGGGCAGCGGTCCAGCGAGTGGCAAGAAAATAGCGAAGAAGAATTGGATGACCGCTTCCCAGACCTTGAAAGAGATGATATGATGGTTAGAAGATTCAGGATTTGTCCTAAATCGATTAGCCCTCTTCAACCGGCTAACCTTTTAGCCATTCGTAACCCTCCATTGAAGCGCCAAAGAAATGTGGTTGGCCAGAGAGAGCCGAAACTTCAGCCAAAAGCAGAAAAACCAGAAAGGTTATTGTGGGCTGCTTAACGCTTACTTTGCATGAAAAGGTTTGAGGGTTATTGCGTAAATAGAAAGGGTGAGTTTAAAACGAGGGGAGATCAATCAAAACCAATCTGTTGCCATCATATTCTAGCACAGAGATGTCAAATGTGGTCAGATCTGGCCCGTGAGGCCATCCTGGGAAATGTAAGGGGATGGACCAGTGGTGGCTAACCTTTTTGGACTCCTGTGCCAAAAATTGTGTGTGTTCTTACATGCTTGCGCTCACTTGCCAGCACCCAGAAGGCAATGCGCGCCCCCCCATGCCCTCTACGCATGCACGTGCAATCCCCACCCCACCACCCTCTTACCTGCACTGCGCCTCACAGCTGATTTTTGGCCGGTTTGAGGCCTTTTTCGGCCTCCCAGAGGCTTGAGGAAGGCTTCTGCAGGATTTTCAGGCCAAAAACTAGGTATTTTTGGAAAAACAGGAAGTGATATAACAGGCCTAGTTTTCGGCCTGAAAAGCCTGCAGAAGCCTTCCTCGAGCCTCTGGGAGGCTGAAAAAGGCCTCAAACCGACCGAAAATCAGCTGTGAGGCGCGTGCATGCCCAGTGAGGTAAGTTTGCCTGCAGCTCGCATGCTGGCACAAATGGCACTTGTGTGCCACCTGTGGCACATGTGCCATAGGTTCACTATCTGGACCCTATCGCTTCGGCCCGGTCTACCCAATGCAAAGTGAAAACATGCCAGCAGTTTGGGGAGTGGTGTCAACCTGACCATGCCCACCTGGCCCCCCAAGGTCAACCACAGCCCTGATGCAGCCCTCAATGAAATTTGACACCCCTGTTCTAGCAGAAGATAACCAGTATGATAAAAGTTTAAGAAGAGACATATGGAGAAATGACCACATTTAACTTACCCCATTTACGCAAAAGTACGACCTACCCTGAAAGTAAGTCCTGGCTTGACTTTTACACATGCACCCAATATAAGACCTATCCCCCAAATAAGCCCTAATTAAAATCCCACCCACTCAAGTGCACGGTTAAAAATTAATGGGGAATGGAGCTGCCCTACCACTTACCTTGGACAGTTGTAGCCAGGCCTCGCACACCCCAAAAATCTGTCTTGCCAGCCCATTTCTCCTGCGGCTGGCAAGGCTTTCCTGAAGGCCTCTATAGTTGATAACAAATCTCTGGATCGATTCAGAGCTCTCTTATCAGCTGCAGAAGCCTTTAGGAAAGCCTTGCTGGCTGCAGAAGAAGTTCCTGAAGGCCTTTGACAACAAAAAGGAGGCCGGAGGTGACGCATGGTTAGTCAGTGGACGGCATCCCCTGAAAATAAGACTTGGTGCCTTTTTGGGTGGCAAAAAAAAAAGACAAGACAGGGTCTTGTTTGGGGGAAAACACAGTAGTTTTCCCAAAGCTTTACATTAGCAGCCGATCTTCTGTAGGTTCTCATGTTGGGTTGTAAGATAAAAGTATAGTCATACACATACATTTGTATTCATTTGCTTTACTGTGTTGCGCAGAAGCTCAAAAGAAAGAGGGAGTTGTGTTAGCATCGTTTGACTGGCTTGAGTTTTGCATTGTGACTTCCTTTCTCCAAAGAATTTTTGCAGGGTGCCTTAGAGGCTTAGTACAATGAATGTCATTATGGATTTGTATATGGGTGTACTTCATTTAATGGTTTGTTATACTGGGGATTACCTAAAAGGGAGCCCTTCCCCCAACCTTTGGGGCACCAGGGACTAGTTCCGTGGAGAAAGGTTTTTGTGAAGCAGTGGGGGCGTGGTTTTGTGTGCTGTGTTTGTTTCATTTGTGTGGCATGGTTTCTGGCATGCCGTGGACGGACGGACAGATTGGAGTGTTGGGGACCCCTGTCCTAACAGGAATTTGACGAGTCCTATCATGAGTTTGCAAAGAGCTTAAAACCCATGGACTCTCCAGGATAAAACATGCTCACCGTTAGTGACTTACAAGCAGAGGTGGTGTTCAGCCAGTTCAGACTGGTTCTGGTGTACCAGTAGTGAAAATTTTGACTGGTTCGGAGAACCCGTCTAACACTGATGATGTTACCTAGTTGGGTCGTGAAACATCTGCAAGAAAACCGCCATGCTCAGAGAGTACCAAAAACAAGAATTCCCTCTAGGTGATAGTAGACTTTGAAAGCCACTCACAACGTTGGTTTTTCTTTTTATATTTAGCACAGCCTTCCTTCTCCTACCCAGCCCACTTATTATATTATAATCCTGGGTTTGAGGAGGCCTATGGTTTGCACAAAACTCTGTTCTTCTAGAATGTTGCGTGTGACATACGCACGACGAATCTGAATAGAGATGACTTGTGCATAGCAAAAGGAAGAAGATTCCATTTTACCAAACGTAAATGGATGTGTGTTGAACTGTTTTAAAATGCGGTTTAATTATCCTGCCCATCTGAAGATAAGCAAATTTAAAAGATGGGAAGTTTAATTATCCTGCCCATCTGAAGATAAGCTCAAAGCGCTGCGTTTTTTTCCCTATTGTATTGTGTCAACGGGACAACATTTCTCCAAAGTCAGAGAATGAGCTTTATGGTTGAATGGGGCTTCCAGTCCAGCACTTGACCCATTGAAACATACTAGATATCCAGGACAGAAAGCAAGTGAACGTTCTTGGTCTTCAGCAGACAGCAGCATCTGCTGACTTGGTAGATCAGGAAAAAAAAGTCAAAATAAATTGTAAAAGACTTTTTTCCCCATTCCACATGGTGTGATGGATGGACGTTCACCGGACTTTAAACTGGGGGACAGATCCATTGGTCATCCACAAGCTCAGTCGTGCTCTCTGCATTCTTAGGAAGTGTTCAGAGAAGAGCAAAAAAGATGATTAGCGGTCTGGAAGCTAAAACATATAAAGAAGGGTTGCTGGAATTGGGTATGTCTCGTTTAATGAAAAGGAGAGCTAGGGATGACGTGATAGTAGAGTTCCAATATCTCACGGGTTGCCCCAAAGAAGAGGGAGTCAAGCTATTCTCCAAAGCAACTGAAGACAGGACAAGAAGCAACGGGTGGAAACTCACCAAGGAAAGAAACAACCTAGAACTAAGGAGAAATTTCCTGACCGTGAGAACAATTAATCGGTGGAACGGCTTGCCTCCAGAAATTATGGGTGGAGGCTTTTAAGAAGAGATTGGACAACCATCTGTTCGAAACAGTCTAGGGCAGTGATGGCAAACCTTTTTGTTGTGGGTGTGCTGAGAGCGCGCACGTGCCAGCACTCACAATGCAATGCACCCCACCCAGCGCATGCACGCGCAACATCCTCACCCTGTCTCCTTACCTGCACTGGGCATGCGCACGCCCAGCTGGTTTTCGGCCCGTTTGAGGCTGTTTTCACCCTCCTGGAGGCTCAAGGGAAGCCTCGGTAGGCTGAAAACGGGCCCGTTTCGGCACTTCTGGTATTTCCGGAAGGCCCATTTTTTGGCCTCCTGAGGATGCAGAGGCTTCCCTCGAGCCTCCGGGAGCGTGAAAACTGCCTCAAATGGGCCAAAAATCAGGTGGGAGGCACGCGCATGCACAATGCAGGTAAGTTTGGATGGGGCTCGTGTGCCCGCACAAATGGCTCACGTGTGCCATAGATTCACCATCACAGATCTAGGGTTTCCTGTCCGAGCAGGGGGTTGGGCTAGAAGACCTCCAAGTTCCTTTCTAACTCTGTTGCTCTGTCATTCTGCATCTTTTACAACCTTCTAAACCAGTGGCGGGATTCAATTTTTTTTTACTACCGGTTCTGTGGGCATGGCTTGGTGGGCATGGCAAGGGAAGGATACTGTAAAATCTCCAGTCAGAGGTGGTATTTGCCGGTTCTCCAAACTACTCAAAATTTCTGCTACCGGTTCTCCAGAACCTGCTGAAACCCACCTCTGTTCCACACGTCAAATTATACCAAAGATGTAAGTAATTTTTTTGTTCCAGTACAAATTCCTCAAAACAAAAACCGTCTGCCATGATGCAGATTTCTTATAATCTGCAAAAGATTATAGCACCAACAGGCAAAATGGAGGCACAGATGGAATCCATTGATGTAGAAATTGTTCATTTACTTTCTATCTTTGGATGACCCGAGTCTCGTTTTTTGTTTTGCCTCCTGTGCTATTTACGGTCTCGATGATAAGTTGGCTGCCCATAATGCAGCCCTCAAAACAAGTATTCCTTTAATTAAAGCCAAGGTATAATTTGTTGGTGCCAGTCTACTGCAAAACCCACTCTCACCGTCGTCTTCAGTTAGACTGGGCAGGTGTGTCTCTTCTGCCTGGGTGGCAGTCAGAACTACAAAAGCCTTTTAACTGTGATTTTAATGCATGCTCTGCAGTGATGGGATTAAAAAAAAAATTACTACCGGTTCTGTGGGCATGGCTTGGTGGGTGTGGCAGGGGAAGGTCACTGCAAAATCCCATTCCCTCCCCACCCCACTAACCTGCTTTCCAGCTCCGTTCTTCTGTGCAGGGCAACCAAAGAAGACCCAGCCAATCAGGGACTCAGGAGGTGGAGAAGAGATGGGGGCGGGGCCTGTCAGAGGCAGTATTTGCCGGTTCTCTGAAATACTCAAAATTTCTGCTACCAGTTCTCTAGAACCGGTCAGAACCGGCTGAATACCGCCTTTGGTGCTCTGTGAGGTACTCTCCATCTTTGGCTCCTTGGGTTGGAGAGGGGCGATTGACAGATCCGCACTGCCAACTAAAATGGACTCTTCTTTTAGCGCCCTCGCGACAGATTCAGTGGGAGCTGAACCGGTATGTGGGGAGATCTCTCCAAGCCTTGCGACGCAGGCCGCGTTCACATCAGAACACAGTCAACGTAGCGTTGCAGGTTCAGCACAAGAGGACATACGTTCCGCTATGGACAAGAATATATCGGGGCTCCGTGTAATCCAACGTGCGATGCGGAAACATCTGGAAATAAATAGCAAACAACTTGCCACCCGAAAAGCTGATCCTTTGCAAACGTGAGCCATTGTCCTGTTCAGTCCTTGCATCCTAACGTCCCCTATCCTCTCATATAAAGTGTGTGTTGTGCAGGCTGCCTGATGCATTGCATTGTATATTAACACGCACGTGTGACGGTAATGAGCCTTTGTGGTTAATAAAGCTACAGCAGTGGGCTGTATGAATGGTAGTTAGAGAAACGGCTCACATTCTCGAGAACTTGGGTGTAAACGTAAGTCACTGTGGTTTCCTCTGGCGATCAGAATCCTGCTAATCACAGCTTATCAATTGTGTATAATCTTGCAAAAATAGAACGCGGCGTTCTCATTTGTGGCATCCGAAATGCTACAAGGTAACTTCTGATGTGGGTAAAATGAAGACCCAGATTGTTGGGAGGCCAGAGGCTGACTCTGTAAATCGCTTAGACAGGGCTATAAAGCACTGTGAAGTGGTATATAAGTCCAAGGGCTAAGTGCTATTGCTATGTTGTCAGTTTGAGGTGCAGACGGCTGAGGAGAGCGAGGACTCAGATGAGGGGCCAGGACCATTAGGGAGTGGACTGCTGCCTTCGGAGATTGTGGGGACTGGCAACAGCAATGAGGAGGTTCCCGAGGAGCCTGTGCCAAGTGCGGTTGCGTGCAGGGCTGCTTGCAGGAAAGAGCAGCTGCAGCAGCACGGGCGACTCGGGAGTAAGGCTGCAAGGTAATGGCCCCTCCTTCAAGAAGATAAAAGCCAGCTGTGAATCGGACGTTCTTTGCAGGAAGCAAAGATGTTTTGAAACTCAGCCTCGTGGACATCTTAAGCTGGTATTTGAAGACACTTGTGTTGTGAAATATTTCTTATCTGTTATTCTTGGCAGCCTCGCACAGTTTTGGCGAGGCTTGTGCTTATCAAACTAATTGTTTGCAGCAGCCTTTTAACCGGGGATTTGTAAGAACCATTGAAAGGTTTCTGTTCCCTTTGGCTCATGTTTGTTTTATTGGAAAAGGGTTTGGGTCAGAACACTCTTATTTGATCTTCGATCAGCTCTTCTATCATGAACCACTTTCCTGTTTTCAATTTCACACTGCGACTTTGCTAGCGGGATAATTCTGAATTCTAAACACGTTAGGGTTCATGAAAACAACTGCTTCAAATTCCGCGCAGTGACGGAATAAACGTTTTTATTTCGTGTGTGGTTTTTCTGCGAGGTGAGTGCTCTTGTCAGCTTCCCCGCCTCTGCCTTTTTAAACTTTTATTTCAGATGAAAAGCGGATCGTGTTCCCTGCAAGTCCAATGCATTTGAATCCTTCGTTATTGGCCTGTCTCAGTTTTTTCTAACTTTATAATTTGACTTTATAGATCCGGCTGCAGAACCCCTGTCTCTGATGATGCAGAGTAAGTTGTTGTGTGCGATCTTTGGATCCTGTAAAACCTGCTCGAGCTGCATGCTTTCTACACTTCCTACTAACTTAAAATAAAATAAAGCTGACTCCCTTCGATCCTTGTGCTTTCCTTGTCCTTCTGCAGCGCTGGTGGGAATTCATGTGCTTTCTCCTGTATGTTCGCTGTGGCATTCAAATTCTAAGTTTCCAGAAAGCAACCAAGCATGCAATGGCTGAACTTCGGCTGATTCACGATGCAGTTCCGGTTTTAAGCCCTGGTGGGGTGTGTGATTGTTAGTGTTTGGGGACAAACCCCCAAGCAGAGTATGCAGCAGCAGCCAAGCCAGGCAGCCAAATTAGAGAGGATGGGCCCAAGAGTATACACACACTGGAGACAAACACTGTTTGTAGTTTTAAATAGTTGTTTAATCCAATCAGAGTTTAAGCATTGTCAATCAGTCCATATGTCATTCACAAATATATCCATTCAGTAACTTAGTCCATTTACCAGTCAGTACTATATCCTTATCTGCTTGTAAAGATATCTTCTCCTCCCGATACCTTTCTCTTGAAGACAACGCTGAGTATTCACAGGATATCAGCTCACCAAGGAAATAGTCCTTTTGTTCAGCAAAAAACAGTATCCAGCACAGTAGCCAACAAACAGTATCAAGCAGAGGTCTCAAACAGGAGTAAGCAGTAAACTGTTACGTTTCTCTTACTGCCTTTTATTGCCGTTTGTAACCGCACCCTTAATTAGCTAATTACATTGCAGTTTGGTGCTTAAAGCTACAAGTTACAAACACTTAAACCTTGGTTTATATATTTATTCACCCAAACTTAGTTGGTGTATCAATGTTATACCCAACAGTGATGATTACAAGGAGCTAGAATTATAATGGTGGAAAGTTTGGATAACTGAGGTTAAGAAGGTTGCTAAGCAGGAAGTGGATGAGAAAACGTACCAGCATTTATCGATCTCAGCTGGTTGATATCCAAAAATTTAAAAATCAGCTCTGTAAAAAAAAAATCTCCCTGATCTGCAGGCTTCCAAAGCCAGTGCCATCAAGAGTCATTTTCATTTCTTGACTTTTTTCCCCATGAAATTTCAGGGTTTTCTCTTCAATTACTAAAACATACAGACAGACCTTTATCAGGCTTGGAGAGTTGCCAGGCTGATACCTTCCAAACGCCATGCTATAGCAGCAGTTACTTGGCAAGAAGTCAGGAACAGATCTTCACCCTAATGGATTGAACAGATTGTCTCCTGCAAACACCATTCCCCTTTCGCTCCTCTATTCCCCCTGGGAGGGGCCATTCACCATCCACCTGTAGCTTTACTCCCAAGTTGACCCTTGTTCCTTAACTGTTCCCTTCTTCTGGCAGCTCTGTGCATGCATACATAGGGAACAGGCTCCAGCAGTTCTTCTTCCTCACTGATCTCCGACTCTGAAGGCAGCTGATAACTCTCCGATGGCCCTGGCCCCATCTCTGCCTCCGATGCAGAGCCCTCATCAGAGCCTTCCCCAGACTCCAGGCCTGTCCATGTTCCTCCCCAACCTCCTCCCTGTCCGAATCTGCTGCCAGGCCGCTGGCAGGCCACAACACTACCTATATTTCTCTGTATTCAGGCACTTTCTTCCAACGTCAGAAATTTTGACAGACAAGTACATTCTCCTGAGCAAAGACATTCAAAGCCAGAATGAATATCCAATACTAAAATGCTAGGAATGATTTTTAAAAATGCTTCTTCTCCTAGAAAATGAATCTGCAGGAATAACACTGCCCGCATCTTTTCTTGTAAAAGAATTGCTGTCTGAATTTATTAAACAGCAAATCTGTTCAGATGTGTCAGAAACAGATTGGTGTTACATTTTACATTGGTATTAATTTTATGCTGATTTAAGTTCACGATTTCTTACATTGAAGACAGAATCGTGGCTACGTAATCTTCTAACCTATGATTTTTTTCCCCCTGCTAATAAAACCAATTCCTTAAAAAGAATTATTTTTCTTAAAGCAGTTTAGCTCCGTCCTGTAGCCAAACCCTAAATAGTTTTACAGAGAGAGAAGCCCTTTTGTTCATTTCCACATCAAAAGCTACTGATAATACGTAACATTTTTGCATTGGAATCACGTTTTAAAAATAACTCCCCCAAACTAGAATGTTAAATAAATAAATGTGGCAGGTATCCATGCTGACTGGAAGCAGGAAAATGATAATCATCCTTTAGTCTGTCTCCAAAATCTTTTTTTTTTTTAATTGAAACCATTTTTAATTTTGTTAATGGTCTCTTATTTCTGATTTTGGGCTAAGTTTCCTTAGAAGATAAATGGACATGTTTCATGATGACTTTGAGTCACCACATGCCTGCAAAATCCGCTTGCAGGTTTATAATATCAAAAAGAGAAAACTGCCTTTTTTTTTCATTGAATCCAGTGATTTAAAAAGTCTACCTAATGAAATGTATAGTACATGTGACTAAGAACTTGATGGAAATAAAACTTTTCTTGAAAGCGACTGAAATTAGAGACAATCTTTTCACGTTTTGCTTTCCAGATGCTGTAGTTCAAGTAGTCCTCAACTTACGAACAGTTTGTTTAACAACTGTCTCCCTTAGCAACAAAAAATGTGGGGAGGGCCCTCAATTGTGGTCATAAGTCAAGGATGACCTGTATTTTCGGTCAAAGCTGAATGAAGTAGGGCAGGTTAGTTAGAGCAATTGCATAACCCATTCCACAGAATTTCTAGGATGCAGGTCTATGTCACTTCCACCAGTCCAAAATAGCAATCCCACAGCTCTCTCTTTCTCTCCACAATATTTAGTATTTTAAAAAAATGTGATGCTATGATGTCACACCTTTTGTACAGCTAAAATTTTGCAAGACAAAAAAGTCAGAGGAAGGACTCCTATAATTTGTAATTCCATCCTTTTTTTTTTTGGTAATAATTTTTATTGTTCTTTTTCACCTTTAACACACATTAATCTTGACTTTAACAGTACTGTGTGTCATCGTTATTATACAAATTATTCTACACATCAATCTCATATAAATATCTACATTTATACGTCTTTATATACATTCATTTACTTTTATCTATAATTTTCTTATTTCCTTTATCTTCATTTCGGTTATTCAACCAATTATACCAATTATCCCAAATTTCGTAATACTCCAACTCTTCTTTCTCTTTTAGTTTTAATGTCAATTTGTCCATTTCAGCATTTCAGTCTAGGATTTTTTGAATTATTAATTCCTCAGTAGGCATATTATTTTGTTTCCAACATTGCGCGTATATTATTCTTGCAGCTGTCAGAATATGTAATAGAATATATTTAATCTTCTTTCTATAATTCCCCTTAATTATTCCCAATAGAAACAACTTTGGTTTAAATTCTGTTTTTTCTTCCACTATCTCTTGTAGCCAACTCCATATTTTAATCCAATATTTTTTGTCTTCTGGGCATAACCACCACATATGGTAGACGGTACCTTGGTTCTGTCTGCATTTCCAGCATGTTGGATTCATGTTAAGGTACATTTTGGCTAGTCTCATTGGAGTAAATGCCACCTATAGAGCATCTTTATAGGCCGCAGTTCTTGTTAATGTATAATTTTTATTCCACATTTTCCCCATATCTGCTAAATCTATACTATGCCCAAATTTTTTTTGCCCATGCTATCATGCAGCCTTTTACTACATCCTCTTTTAATGCAACTTTTAATAGGTAATTATACAGCTTCGCTATAAATTTCTGTTCTGGGCCTGTTAAAATTTTATCTAATTGTTGCAGCTCAGTGTAAATTCCATACTTTTCCATATTTTACTGCATAAATTAATCAATTGAATTCCTCATGCAGGTGACATGTAAGTTGTTGAGGGGGAAAAAAACCCCAATCTTTATTGAATATGGATGCTTTACAGGCATTGATTTTTTAAGGGGTTTTTATAGCTGGCTTCCTCTTTAACAGTGGAATGGGTATTTTTATTTAATAAAGTTTTGAGATAGAAAGAAGGAACTAAGGATCTTGATATTAAATAGGCATCAACAGGAAAGATTAGGAGATGTGTGTGGTATTTTGGTGCACCAGCTCCTGCTAGTGGCTTCAACTGAAACTTCTCCAACCATCCTAACAAAAAGATTTAATTCAATATATTCCATCTCTTGGCATTTCAGTATTATTTCTCCTCCTGACTTCCCTTCATCAATAGACAGTAGAATTAAGAAAAACAAAATTTTCTTCTAAATAATGCTAAAATACAGGTCCTTAGAACCTTAGCCATAGCAGATGGAAAATGTGAAGTGCGACCACTATTTTAGCAGGAGACCTGTTTTCTTTGGAATACGAAATTTTGTCTTGAAGGAATGGAATGGAATAGAATAGAAATAATTGGAATGGCATGGAATGGAAATAATTGGAATAGAATAGAATAGAATAGAATAGAATAGAATAGAATAGAATAGAATAGAACAGAACAGAACAGAACAGAACAGAACAGAACAGAACAGAACAGAATTCTTCCTTGCCAAGAGTGATTGGGCACACAAGGAATTTGTTTCTGTTGCATAAGCTCTCAGTGTGCACATATACAACAACAGAGTGATAGGTCATAGATCATAGTTACAATCATTCATCATAAGATACAGATGACAAGCGATAAACCATAACATACCACAAGGAGAAGGTAGTAGGAAAGATGAGAAGTTGAGAAATGAGAAGACGAGAAACGATGATAATAGCCAGACAGTGCTAGGGGAATTAGTTGTTTAGTTGTCGTGAGTGATGGCACGGGGTGTGTGTGGGAACTGTCTCTGTGTCTGGTTGTTTTGGTATGCAATGCCCTATAGCGAAGTACCAAGGGGAGGAGTTGAAATACTTTATGTCCAGGATGTGAGGAGTCTGTAGATATTTTCTCAGCTCTCTTTCTGGTTTGAATAAACAGTGAGTGAAACAAAACCACAACCAATGACAATCGGCTCATTTACAGTTCAGGTCGCCTCAGAGGAAGAGGTTGTAGCTACTTTTCCAAAAAAAATACTTTAGAAGTCGAAAGATTGGCAACCTGACCCTCTCCAGATGTTATGGACTACGCCTCCTCATCCCAGTCCATGCGATGAATCAAGGATTTTGAGAGTTGTAGACCAAAACATCTGGAGGGTACCACACAGCCTTGCCTAATTTAAACGTAGGAGCACGTTTGCAAATTCTTAGCAACGAGCTAGCAGAAAAGATTGAAGTTCCACACAGGTAATAAAATGACCTCTGCGGGGTATTTGGTCCGTTTCACTAAAGCTGTTTCAGTTCGTGTAAGGATTCCAGATGAAAATGAATGTGCTTATAAAATTAACCTGCCAAATGTACCCCAAAAAACTTCTGTCTATATGTACCAGTCCTGAAAAACCATCGGCTGCATATGGTGTGTCTTTGAGTTGTTTTATCTGTGCTCTCTTTGCAATATAATCTTTTTACCTTGCTTAACATTCATAATCCGCTTCTTAGCTTCGTCGTGCAAGACAAATTGTCATAGAATCGGGAAATTGCTCGTTGTTTTCTTATGTGTTAATATGTCTCAATGTTTTCCAGAATCTTCTTCTTAACAAAATAACGCAAACAACATTTCTGCATGTGTGTTCGATAGAGATGACTTACCACAGCTTACTCACTGCTGACATTTTAGCCTAAAATACTAGCCTTTTATGTTCTTCTCAACTGTCTCTATATAAGTGTCCGAATATAGTGTCCTTTCAAGTATTTCAGAAATCAAAACTCGAGGGGCACTTGCAACTCAACCCCAGTTCCACATCCCAAGGCTGCTGTTCAAAACAACAACAACTAGACTTTCTGGATCTTTGTTCCTGGGAAATATTTGTGATGACCCAGAGTGTAACACAAACGTAACAAAATCCAGAGCATAAATAAATGTCCTTTAATACCTCCAACTTGGCTCCACTGTTCAATAATCTCAGTTGGAGATAAAAAATATTCAAAAATAGTCTTCAAAAAAAAGCAATACAGTCCGAACTTAATGAGCAGATAGAGGTGAAATAAAAAACCAAAACAAATTACAATGAAGGAAGTTCCAACAACAGATCAGGATAAGTAATTACCAACTTCAAAGAGATAACAAGGCACAGTCTGTTGGAAGGATGCCAACCAAGATAACTTCAGCCCAAAATAAAACACACTTTGCTTCTGGCAACACTGTGTTTTAACCGTCTCTCTTATATACTATTCTCTCCAGCTGCAACCAATGAGGGGGATCATGGCCGCTTCCTCTCTCCTAAGCCAAGTTGTTTCCTTCTCCGTCCCTCCCTGCGTGTCCTAGGATGAAGAGGGGATGGGCCTGGTTCTTCCTTTGACTGCCCAGCCGGCCTCTGCCCTTCCCCAGCCTTCTCCACAACCTCTGGAGCCACAACTTCACTCCCTGTTGGCTGTTCCTCCTCTCCCTCAGAGTCCGACTCTAACAAGGGCATGACAATATTTCATTTCTGATCCAAGAACTGACTTCGGTTCTGAAGAAGCTTCTTGGATGAGAAACAAAACATTTTCAAGAGACAAAACAAAAACCTAACAACCCAAGAAAGTCCAGTTGCTTTTTGAAAAAGCACCTCTGGCACAACCATGACCTGAATGATTGAGAATCTCCCTAGATGATAGTTCATCAGATCTTACCACCTCATTCTGGATAATCGTTCAAGACTTCTTGCAATATCTGATAATGCTTGAAGTCAGAATTGGATTCCTCCATCCTTCTCTTTCCTTCTTTATACCAGCTTCAAGAAGGACACCTCAATTTACATTGGGAAACTTTTTATACAGTACATTGAAAACTAGAAATTCTGGCTTAAAGTCAGGCAACTAAGTCAGATGGACTCAGTTGGGTTCAACCTTTTCTGCATAGTTCCAGATTTCCTCTGCAGAGTTGAAGAATTGATAGCACCCTCATTGAACTTCTAACTGAGGAGGCCTTCTAAATTTATAAAGAAATATTCGGTAAAGTTTGAAAAACACCGGAACGAGCAACAAGGTTTTGACATTTTTCAACCCAAAAGAGAAGGGACAGTTGAGAAATTGAACAAGGTTTTGTATAGAAGATCATGCTGAATTCACGCAATCACGCTGAGCAAAAAAAGAAAAGAAAAGCTTTGGACATGCTTCTGTTTGGCTTAAGCGGTCAACTTGCACGTATGTTATTAGTATGGCTGCTTCTCGGCACTTCCACTTAAAGCGGGGTTGTCCATTATGACACGTGGACTTCAACTGCCAGAAAAAAGCTGGCTCAGGAATTCTGGGAGTTGAAGTCCACAAGTCATATAGGAGCCA